ATTCCTTCAGAGTGGTTGTTTTACATATTCAGAAATCACCTGTTTACTATGATCTTATTGCATATATAAATAAATATATATATATATATATATATATATATATATATATATATATATATATATATATATATATATATATATATATACATATATATATATATATATATATATATACATATATATATATATATATATATATACATATATATATATATATATATATATATATATATATATATATATAAACAGCCATAGGGGGAGTTGAATAATAGCTCTAGGTCTTTCGTGCTGCAATCAACACATCATCAAGAGCTTCCAAAGTTGCAGAAATGAGTAAGAAATCTAAGCAGATTCATTCCAAAGGATGCTTGCTAAGACTGAGGATAGGAGAAGCAGGGAGTATACAGTGCTCAAGCACACGAATGCCGAGTACCGAGTGCCGAGTGCCGAGTGCCGAGTGCCAGATAGTTTCAGTATTATAAGAATAGAGGATAGTCAGTTCACAAGCAAAGGTATTGGAGTGGTTAGCTAGCAAATTAATATTGGTAACATAACGGTTATCAAAATTATCAATCCGACTTCATGGCAATATAAAGGACTTAACATTCTGAATATGGATGTGTCTGGCAACTTTCAAAGGGAAAATCCACACCTTTAGGGAAAACAGGAAAACGGGCAAACTCACCTAAAGGGTAGACTAATGGTCAGGCCTCAAAAGGGACAACAAGCCCAAGCCCTAATTCTTGGGAGTGGAACCCGGGCAGCTAAGACAATCCAACACATTCATATAAGAATCTGATTTGAACAATTCAGTACTGTCATTATATAATGTATGTTCATCGTGTTTAATAAATGCAGACTCGAGAATATTTCTTTCTAGCCAGAAAGTGCATGGAACACTGGTCTTTGCCTCAGACCACTTAGCCAGATTATTACTGACTCGTGTGTGGTTGAATAACGCATTTGATTCTCCAGCAGTCCTTACAGAATACTGATGCTGTGTAATTCTGACATTTAGAGATTTGCCAGTCTGTCCTACATGCGACCTACACACCACCTGCACATTGTTTAGGGGAATTCTTGATCAACATACTCTTATCATTCTGTGAATTCTTAAAAACAACTTGTATATTGAGTGTCTTTAGGGCATTCGGTTTGGACTGATAAATTCTCAACGTATGGCAGGACATGCACATTCTTGTTATGAGGGGTTATTCTAAGTTCAGTCCTATGATAAGTTTTTTCTAGCCGCCAACAAAGCAGTTTCTATGTTATCCTAGGGATAACATAGTTTTTTTTTTTTTTTTGCAATATCGAAGATTTTCCTAATTTCCTCATCCAAAAACTCAAGGCTACGCATTCTGTAAGCTCTCAAAAACATAGTAAGAAAAGCCTTCTTTTTGCTCTAGTTTCATGGTTGTAGTAATAGTTGATATATGAGCACACGTTCGTAGCCTTCCTATATACTGTGAACTTTAACATTCTATCAACCCTGTGGATAAAAATATCTAAAAATGAAAGTTAAAGTAACTTCTTTCTTTGTAGTGAATTTAATAGAGGAGACAAAAGAGTTAGGTCTCGGTAAAAATATATTAAGCTCCAAATAATTCACCCAAAGACGCAAGACGTCATCCACATATCTAAACCACTTAGCTTCACAAGGCAGGATATCTTTCAACAGCTTAGTCTCAAATAAATCCATATACAAATTGCTTAATAGTGGAGACAACGGATTCCCCATAGCCATTCCCTGCCTTTGAGAGTAATTTATCCCTTCAAATTCAAATTTGCAGTCAACAACACACAACTTAATCTACCCAGTAATAATGTTCTTATCAAATGGCATGGGGGAACTCTTTTAATTCTTCCTCTAGATTAGCTAATAAATCAGGGACAGGTACATGTGTGAACAAAGCTGTGACGTCGAAACTTACTAGCGTGAAATCATTAGACATGTTAACATTTTGCAATTTGTCAATGAGATCAACATTGTTTTTAATGTGAGCTTCCAAGATGTGCCAAGTAATGGGGTTAACATTTTTACCAACCATTTTGACAAGGCATAGTTCGCCGATCCTACAGAGGTAATAATAGGTCTCGCTGGAAAACTGGGCTTGTGGGTCTTGATCAAGACGTACGTATAAAGAAATGTCGCCGACCTAGTTAATAACTGTTTAATCAATTCCTCATTAACTTTCAATAAGGTTCTAAGTTTTCTATTAAAATCACTATTGAGCTGATCCAACGGGTTTTTATTAAGGGGCGCGTAAGTTTCACTATCCTCTAATAGTAAGTTCATTTTACCACTATAATCTACCCTATCCATAATTACTATCACATTTACTTTGTCAGCTTTCGTAAGGTGAAGTCTAGGATCTATTTTTAATTCATGGTATGACTTAACAGCTCTTTGAGGACAATTCAGTTCCCCAGGTCTGAGCAAAGTCCCAAATACCACGTCTTTGCATATGCTGAACGTTTTCTGAGGTAGATCCCCTTGTTTTTCCAGGATGCAAAAAAAAACAGGAAGCGTCCTTTATGTCCGTATATGTATGTATGTTTATATATATATATGCAAAACAACCACTCTGAAAGAATAGAGAAATTCCAAGCGCTTTCGTGACTGCTCACATTATCAAGGAACTATGAAAGTAAAGCATCCAAGGAAGCTATATAAGGGGTCCGGCCAGCACCTCACTGTTAGATCCCACAACGGTTAAACACGTGACGCGCGGCGACCCAACTTGGATAGGTCCTTTGCACAACTCACCCCCAAGCTATTCTACCCAAGAAAATTTAAAAATTATTATTTGTCCAGTGTATTATTAAATTCTTCCCAAATTTTATTAATTATAAATGGATCTAATTTATATAAACCAAAGGAAATATTCATATTATTGTCAAAACTGCTTTTTATGAAACAAGATTCAATTATATTCCTGTCGACCATGGACTTGCTTGATACTACTTTCTCAACTTTTTGAAAATCAATTGGATGGTTAAAATCTCTTACATGAATAAATAGAGCATTGGAATCTTGTCCAGTTCTAATGCTATATTTATGTTGTTTTAATCTTAGTTCGAGATTTTTACCAGTTTGACCGTAATAAACTTTATCGCAAATTTTACAAGAAATCTTATAGACACATCCATCAGCATTTTGGGGGGAATTCTTTATCAAAAGTTTTTTCACTGTATCAAGATTTTTGAATACAACTTTAATATTAAAAGTCTTAAGAAGAGAAGGCATATCAACCAAGTTTTCATGGTAAGGGAGAACCAACATATTTTTGGTTGAATAAGGCTGGTTGTCCCTTTTTGGATTATAAAAAGTGTTTCTAGCAACTTTAAAAGATTTATCAATTACATTTCTTGGGTATTTTAAATCATTACCTCTTTCATAAATTTTGGATATTTCCTCATCTATGAACTCAGGACTACAAATTCGTAAAGCTCTCAAAAACATTGATGAGAAAACAGACAGTTTGACTATCTTGATGCGAGGAATAATAGTGGACATAGGAACAGTTATTTGTAGGTTTTCTGTAAATTTTAAATTTGAATTCATATATATATATATATATATATATATATATATATATATATATATATATATATATATATACACACTATTCGGTAGAAAAGAAATCAGTTCTAGCCGTTCATTTTTTATCCAGCATCCATTTACAACGACAGTTCATATCTGCATATGTCTATCTCATTTCTATGTTACTATTTACAGTTTATTTCTCGGACCGAAAATCTCGGTTTTCTACTAATATTTTCAGTCACATCATTCGGAAATACATCTGTATCTATCATCAAAATTCTATGCTGCCGCAAACAATTATATGTAACATCACAACATCAGCGTCAAACATAGCAATATTACAAGTCAGTGCTACCCTAAACATCAGTATTTAATCATCACTTGCCAATACCTGGAGGAGTATACCTGGAGGGTATTCCGAGGGTCAGCGCCCCCACAGCCCGGTTTATAACCATGCCTCGTGGTGGATCAGGGCCTGATCAGCTAGGATGTTGTTGCTGGCTGCACGCAAACCGAGGTAGGAACCACAGCCCAGCTGATCAGGTACTGACTTTAGGCGCCTGTCCAGCTCCCTCTTGAAGACAGCCAGGAGTCTAATGGTAATCCCCCTTATGCATGCTGGGAGGCAGTCTTTGGGCCCCTTACACTTACTATATTGTTTCTTAGCGTACTCATGGTACATCTATTTTTCACTGGAGAGGGGGGATTTTGTAAGGAGTGAATTCTGTGTGCAGATTTGGGACTATTTCCTCTAAGATTTTCCAGGTATATTAACATGTATCTTTCTCTCTTGCGTTCCAATGAGTACAAGTCAAGGAAATTCAACAGTTCCCAATAATTTAGGTGCTTTGAAAGTTCTCTGCACAGTGCAGTGCAGCAATTTCCCCTGCCATGAAGGGGACAGATAGTGTACAGCAGTATTCCAGCCTAGAGAAAATAAGCGATTTGAAGAGATTCATCGTGGGCTTGGCGTACCTCGTTTTAAAGGTTCTCATTATCCACCCTATCATTTTCGTAACAGATGTGGTAGAAACATTGTTGTGATCTTTGAAAGTGAGATTCTCTGACATTATGACTCCCAGGTCCTCCACATCAGTTTTTCGCTCTGTTGTGTGGTTGGATTTTGTTTTATACCCCTATCTAGTTATTCCTTTGTGTTTCCCGTAGAGGAATAATTGAAATTTATCTTCATTGAACTTCACATTGTTTTCTGAATCCCCTTTAAGGAACTGGTTACTGTCCGCTTGGAGATTTGCAGGGTTCTCATTGGATGACACTGTCATGCAAATTCAAGTATCATCAGCAAAGGAGGACACGGTGCTGCACCTCTCACGGATAAATGATATATAATTCATCGTGATATTTTTATTCTTATTTTTTTGTGAAATTTATATTATTAATTGATTTAATCTTTTAAACCTATACAAAAGCATTCTTTACTCTTGTACAG